GCTTCTGGAAAAGGTCTAAGAAAGTTCTGCAAAGCTTGTCCTCTTCCTAGTAAGGAAGGAAACTGGGCTGAATACCACCGTAAGAAGCACCCCCACACACACACACCCTTTCTGGACTGGTTTCACTCCAGGAGGAATGAGTGACGCCATTTTTTCCCTTCCTCCACCTCAGCAGCATACTGCCTCTGAGCATAGCAATATTGAATATGCTAAGTTTATTCCTATCAGGAGTTTGTCCTCTTACAGCCAAATTTTATACCAATAGCAAGCTCCTTACTAAAGAGTAAGACTTTGGAATTAAAATACACAGATCTATTGGACAGCTGGAAAGCAAGGTCTGCTATGGGAGGGAGAGACAACTCCTCAGCCTGATGAAATCCTTCTTTCTTACTAGAAGGCCTTACATGAGAAGCAAAATAGTGGCACTTACAGGTCAAGTTTTCAGAACTGCAGTTTCTTCTCTATACGATCCCAGTATGAATTGCAATCCCGGTATTAACTGCATATGTGTGCAGGAATCTAAGCAAGAGGAGGAGGAGGAGGAGGAGGAGGAGATTGTATTTACATCCTGCCCATCACTCAGAGTCTCAGAGCAGTTTACAATCCTCTCCTCACAACAGAGAACAGCTCCGAGAGAATTGTGATTGACCCAAAGTCACCCAGCTGGCTGCATGTGAAGGAGGTGGAATCAAACCCAATTCTCCAGATTAGAGTCTGCCACTCTTAATCAGTACACCAGGGGTGGCCAAACTATGGCTCGGGAGCCACATGTGGCTCTTTCACATATATTGTGTGGCACCCAGCAGGGCATGCCTCCCGGATAAGTCTTCCCTTCCCCAGCCAGTGTTCCCCTCCCTGGGTAGGCTTGAGGAGTGTGTGTGTGGGGAAGGAACAGAGAAAGAAAGCCGCTTTAACTTTAAATGCATTCTCAAAGCCCCCCCCCCACTGGCTGGCTTGGCTTGGAGAAGACATTAGACTCTTTAAATCCCTTCTCCAAGCCATGCCAGCCGCCATGGGAGTGTGGGGAGCTTGGAGGATACATTTAGGATTAAAGTTGTTTTCTTTCCACATCTCCCTCCTTCCTCCATCTATCTTCTTTCTTTCTTTCTTTCTTTCTTTCTTTCTTTCTTTCTTTCTTTCTCTCTCTCTCTCTCTCTCTCTCTCTCTCTCTCTCTCTCTCTCTCCTTCTTTCTTTCCTCTCTCTCTCCCCCCCTCACTCTCTATCTAAACTTAAACGTGTTGTCCAAGCCCTGCCACACTGGCAGACTGGCTAAGCTCAGAGAAGGCATTTGTCTCTTTAATTTAATATACAAATTTGCATATTTTCCAATAAAAACATATGTGTCCATGTCTTTTGGCTCACAAACATCTGATGTTTGTTCTATGTGGCTCTTACGTTAAGCGAGTTTGGCCACCCCTGCGCTACACCAAACTGGTGTACACCAATCAAGGCAAACCAAAAGCGCTCTAAAATTCCTATTGACTACAGTGAAGAAGTCACTTGCCCATTAAAATCAATAGAAAGGTGGTGTGCATAACTCTGGGACTTACTTCCAAGTAGACCTCCGGCTATGCATATTTAGCACCCTCTATTTCCCTGCACTGTAGTACAGCTGCACCAGATGGTTTATCTTTATGTCTCATAAGAAGGGCAACTCTTCTTTTTAAAAAGTTACAAGTGAGGGTATAAAGGGAGAGAACATGAGCTGGGATGACGATCAGGCAGCATCCCATAACCCCAAAGCTCCTCCCCCGAGGACAGGAAGGCAGGTCACGCAGTGCTTGCTGGAATAGCCCCTTTGAACTCCAGCCAAGATGAGCTAAGGAAATGGCGGGGGTGGACAGACTGTAGGGCTGGTGGGGAAGCAAAAAAAAATAATAAAAATTGCTCCCCTCCCTATCACGCCCTCCAAGAGTGCAGGAAGAGGATCAGAGACCCCGCATTCCTCACCACCGGCTCCACCCTGAGCCTTTGGGAAAGCTGCTGAAGCCGAACTGGAGCTGGAAGGGAGGGGGGGCTGCGTTCTTTCCAGGGGGGAGGAGAGCCCTCCCCCAAACTCCTTCCCCCTCTCTCTTGGGCTGGCTTGCCGAGGACAGGAGCTCCTCCCTGAAAAGCAACGACGGCCCCTGAGGAGCCAGGAGGGAGGCGAGTGCCCGGCTAGGCTGGCTGCCGCCGTCTGCTCAGGAGCTGTTTTCAGCACCAACAACTCAGCTCAGCAGCAGCAGCTGCCCAGGCTGAGCGGTGAGAATTGTTTCGCGGCCCTTGATAACGCGACATAACTTTGGCTGCAACATGAACATACATCATCAGGGCAGCGTTTGGCTTTGGAAAGCAATAAGCGCTGCCAGGGCAGGATTCCCTCCATCCTACCAGGAGGAGAGGAGGAAGAGCGAGAGGGACAAGGAACTTAACGGAAAGTT